GAAGCAGAGAGGCAGGAGGGCAAAAAGGAGGGCGGGCCAAGCGGTCTTGCTGCCCATCACCCATCTTTCCATCTGTGAGTCGAGGTCTCTTGCCGGCGAGGGAGTGCAGTGGCATGAGCACGGCTCACGGCAGCCTCGAATCCCTGGGCTCGGGCCATCCTCCCACCTCAGCCTCCCGAGCTGCCGGGGCTGCAGGTGTGTGCCACCACGCCCGGCTGATTTATTTTTGCTTTTCTGTAGGGAGGAGGTCTCACTGCGTGGCCCAGCCTGCCCTTGAACGCCTGGCCTCGAGCGATCCTCCTGCCTCGGCGTCCTCACGTGCTGGGGTGACAGGCATGAGCCACTGAGCCCAGTCATATCTGTTTATCTGTGTCTGTGAGGGTGGGGTTGGGAGTGCGAGTGCGTGTTTGCTACGTGGACGTGTGGTGTCGCGGCGAGTCCTGGCTCTGATGACACGCTCCCCAGGGTGCGCGTTAGGCCACGGGTAACCTGGGCAAAGCCTGGTTAGAGGAGCTGACTGGCCAGGGTGGCCCCTGGACGGCTGGGCAGGGCCCCGTTTCTCCTTCTGACCCGCTTTAGGGCTGTGGCCCGGGGTCTTTGAGTTCCTGGTCTTGAGGTTCTGGGTGACCTGAGGAAACAAAGTATCTTGTGTCGTGGTAGATGCACACAACATCCGTGCAGCGATGTGACTCCTGGTGTGCGTCGCGGCGCTGGATCTGTCCGGCTGCTTCTGACTCTTGTCTTGGGTCCCCCTTCTGAGTCCGCAGGGGCCGCACCCACTCAGACACGTTTGCTTTGCTTTGGCTCTGAACCGGGGCCGGCTGCAGCCCCGGGTCGGCCGAGCCAGGAGACACTCGCCGCCTGGTGCCCGCGCAGCCACCAAGTCCAGCCGGGGGAGGGTGGTGGCCAGGGAGCCCACGTCTCTGTGAGTTCCCGAGCCGCCTGGACCAGGCTGTGCCTGCAGGGTCCGTGCTGTCTGCGAGCCCAGCTAGGGGCTCCAGCATTCACGCCAGCAGGGGCCGTGGACTGCGGGAGCACAGGGGATCCCAGGAGCTCACCTGGGCAGGGCCAGGAGTCCAGGCCGTCAGGATGGAGAGTCCTGGGCCGGG